AGATCATAGAATCAGATTATAAGTTTTATATTTAATGAATTATTATTCACGTATTTTCGTAAGATTTTGTTACCATTAAAGATGTTAGCGACACTAGATGGTCCGACAGAAATAATTGAATTTTAAAGTTTGCTATTTTGCAAAAGAATTTCATATTTACCTTTTTTGCTTTTTAATCTTGCATTATTAATCGTTTTTGTTAATTAAGTTTCTAATATAATTCCGGTATTTTCAGTTACACAAAAGTTATACAAAAAACGTAATATTAGTAATATTTAAGCATTCACAAGCACGTTTGCAAAACTATTTCCAGCCATTTTCAGCTATTATTGCTATTATTATAAGTGTAGTAGCATTTGTTGTTATTTTTAAATTACGCGTTTTATAGTGCAGTCAGGCGAGTTGAAGAAATTACTTATATCGTTATCGGTGACGAAACGCGAACCGCTCGTTAATGTTGTACTAATAGGAATGGAAGTATTCAATGTGAATCGTCGCAATGTGTTTTACACGTCCGATAACATGTGGCCGGTCATTATGAGTAACTACGAGAAAGTTAACATTAGCAAATGCCATATAAATGCAGCAACGGAAACTATATTACGAGTTATTATCGCACTTGTCATAATGTCGTGCAATTGAAATTGATTAGGTGACTTTACAGATGCCACGTGTCACGTACAAATGTTAAAAGTTAACTTGGAATTTTTATTTATACGCCACGCGTTAAATAAATTTATGTTTTGTACGTAGATTCTCATTTTTATCGCTGATCATATTCAATGTTGTTTGTGCAATTATCTTAACAAATAATTTGTAGGCCTTCTTTTTCAGCGTTTTATCAGAATTCTTTTAATTATACTACTATTATATTATATATTATATATATACATTATTGTGATGTCGAATCATTTTCACAAAATTTTCGGCAAACATGTATAATTATATATAGCGTAAATTTTTTTTTCATTGCGACAAAAACGCATCAGTATTAGTATCAGTAATGTCCAAATTTGATGTACTTATGTATTTATGATGTACTTTAGAGACAATACTTCTATAAAGATATTTATTCGTTTGCAATATGATTTTGAATAGTATGCGATGTGAAACTTTCATGTCAACTTTCCCCATATCTAATATTGATACGTGTTGAAATTCAAATACGTAGGAATCTGATGCCATGTATGATGAAAGAAAATATATTCCATTTGCGCTAATGAACTAGCAAATGGAATATATTTTCGCTTACTAGATTGTGAGCTCGACATATTCGAGCAGATCACCGTGGAATTAGTTTCAGTAAACTTACTTACTACGCTTCCGGGTACAAAAGTTTAATTTGATTGTTTTATGCGGGAATGGTTACATATAACTTTTGATCCCTTATGTAAAGATAAGAAAACAAGATGGACCGGTTAATTTAATTACTTATTTGTTTTCTTCTTTTTGAAATATAGGAGGAATTCAACTTTAAATAAGATGTATAATTAATAAATTTCCAAATATTCGCATAAGCCAGTAATTGTTGGCAAAGATGCAAACACAAATTACAGAAAAGAACATTTGAAAAAATTTGAAATTATTTAACTGACATTTTTCTTATTAATATCAATAATCTATTAGTAATTATCTATATAAAAAGAAGAACATGAACACAGAATTTTGTTTTTGCATTTAAAATCATATGATTAATTCGAGGAGTGAGTAGCGTATCGCACATATTGACGTATCGTGCTTATACACAATACAATGTTGGCTTTTGTTTTTGCCATTCGAAGATTACATTTGTTCAATATCAATGAAAATGCATGTATTAATTAGAAAATCGAAGATCGAACACAAATGAATCGAAGATAGAAAACAAATGTAACGGAACTATATTACTAGATACTAGTTGCATATCAAGGCGGTATAGATAAATCCAACTGAAAATCATAAAATCATAAAATTGCCTGTCGTTCGCAGGATTCACAAACGTGAAATGTGTTCAAAACTCTTTTTGATATTTGGAAATCCCAAATTTTATTTTCCAATTTTTCAATCTCAAATATATACATTTAAAATCTTGGAAAATTAAAAACTTACACTTTTAATTTATGTTAGTACTTAGATCATTATATTCTTAGAATATATAATGATTTTTCTATATCTAAAATATGGATATTTAAGTTAATGAAATTATTTGTATCTTTTTATGATCGAACATAAAATATATCTTCGATAAAATTAATGAAGATTTATATTTTTATCTGACGTTATCTCTTGTTTGATGTAATTTTTTTCGTTCTTTCCATAGATCTTCAATTTATTTTTTGCTTATATAGGAAAAAGGGGAAAGTTTGTGACCATAATTCATGAATCGTCCCAAATTATAATAAAGCATCACTTATTATGTATGTATGGCACGCGCGCGCGCGCGCGTGTGTGTACATATATATATATATATATATATACCATATATATATATACCATACATGTGCATGTACATGTTCATAAATCTATACATCCTATACATAAATAAGATATTATTTTACGAAGGTATTCAAACTATTTTATAAAATTCATACACAATTGGCACGTGAAATTAAAAAAGAATAATGCAATAAAATAAAAAATAAATTACCCTCAGTTACTGCAATTCCCTTCGAATTATAAAAAGCATAATTTTTGAAATAGGTGACAGATTGATTTAATATATGATAATATATTAGTGAAACATTTTTTTTCGTTTCAATGTACGAAATTTCATATAGAATAAAATATTTGTTGAAATATTTGAATTTTCGACATCAGCAACAAACGTTTGGTCCTTTTTCCTGATTCAATATTTCAACGAGGCCAAAAGACCTTATTATATTACGTTTGGATTATATAGTGGAAAAGATTTGTCGCATGCAGCATTCAATGCGACAATCTTCTCGCCTTCGATACTATAATTTTACGACATGGCTATTTACATGATAAAAAAGAGATATTGATTTTTTTGTGCTTGTAATTTATTGTGTGGCAAAGGAAACAAAATTAACATTAATAAATTAACATTTCCGTTTTTTATCTTTTTACATAAGATATGATTATTCCAATAATTTCGTGATAAATTTAATAAATCGCGTAACTTATTAAAAATAATTTCGAAGTGCTTATTGCTAAGCTACTTTTATATAAAAATAATATAATATGATGTATGATAAGAGATCACGTTGTTACAAAATATAGCTAATGTAGTTTTCATAATAAGTTATAATTGACATAATATATTGATATATTGCTTTTAAAAGGATTTACCATGCTTTCAGCCACTCACATCTCGTAACAATTTCAGTGCGACATAATATATGATGATGTAAAATGCAAATTAAACGTGACGACGATGAAAATGCCGGTGACGTAAAGTAAACATTTAATGTTCGTGAAATGCATAATTTGATCTGCGTAACATTGTTTCTGCCTCAATTTCATATTTCACGCATGAGACATCATAATATCAAGTACATTAATTATTAATCGTATGATCTTTCACCAGAATGACCGTTATATATAATTTAGATAGCATTCCTCATTTATAAGAAATCGCTTTTCTAAGAAACTTTTAATTATGAAAGTTAATCAACATTATAAAATAAACCTTAGTTTTGCGTTAATTTGTAGTAAATATAAGATCTTATAATAAATTTTATGAATCCACTATATTATTTTGATAACATTTAAATATTATTTCTAAGTATATAAATGTATATTATACAACTTTCAATTGTTGTATCAATTAAGAAAAGAACATTAATAGTTAAGTTTTGCGTTCATGAAATAATTGTCACTCTAGTTATTTCTTTTTTTGAAGATCGCGCTTATTAAAACTTGTTTACACAAAGTATCAAACTGTCATATTTCACGTTATGACCTTTTTATTCTTGATAAAAACTTTTACGATCGAAGTTTTATACGCTTTATCGTAAACGTCAAGTGCAATAGTATATTTTTCTATTTATAATTTGCTCTCGCAAACGAGATGTCTCAATAGCAGACAAATTCACAAAATCCGTAGAAATTCTTGGGATTTGTAATAATGAGACTTATCATTGAGATTTGAATTTACACCTTTTTTTAAATTGCACGTACTCAATTTTCATTTGTTGTTTTTATGCATTCAATGTGAATTTCTATTATTATAATTTTTTCATTGACTTAATATCAATTATCATAGCTTAATATCAATTCTTATCAAATTCAATGATGTCTTGTTTATAATATGCTTTCAAATGGAGATGTATAATGTGATTCATAATGGGAGTCAATAATTCTGCACGTGAATTATACCAACAGTCATATTAAAGCTTTCATCTAGAAATGATACTGCAACGTGATATAATAGTTATGTAATGCATCAATAATCAATACTACAAATATTGTTCATTATCCAACTTCATTAAAATCTTCATCCTTCTTATTATTGTACAAAAACTTATTAAAATTGAGAATAATCGAAATGAAGCTAATACATACACGATTATAAAGTGAATAATATTATAAAATAAATAAAAGTATAAGTATCATCGTATTATTTAGAATTTGATTCTTGCATAATCACTATCACAATAATGATAATAAAATATTTATTATCTGGTCTGTTAAATCAGACCAGATTTTATTAATTAAATATTAAATTTTAGCCTTCGTGATATGTATAACGAATGTGATATATCCTTACATATTGCATAGCGCATGATTCATTTGTTGCTTTTATTCTTTTTGAGTATAGAGCAACTGAATTATAAAATCAATTATGTAAATGAAGAAGTATGGTTCTTAAGCAATTTTAATGCAAGCTTAATCCTTGCATGTAAATTCATGAAACATTATCAATTTTATTTGTTGTATTTAAGTCGGATCAGAAATAAAAAGTAAACTTAGAAAAATTTTAAATTATATTTTAGCTGTTTCTCGAAATAATTGCAATTAAATATTTGTTCATGACTAACATTGACACATTCTAAACTTACCCAACATTATGTAGCACGTTTTAAAGAAACTCGGGCCCACTATTACGCTGAGCAATCCTAAAATGCCCTGCGGCAATTCCGTGAGGAGGAATAGCAGGAGTACCGCCAGCAGCATCCCCGTAGTCCTGTCAGTCTGTCTTTCTTTATCGTTAGCCTTTCTCTTCTTTTTGGGTTTCTCGCAAGTGTGCTCTTTGCCATTGCCCATTTTGATCGCGATGTTCTTCGTAGTGAGTTTCTTCCGCCTTCGCTTTGCCTCCAACAATACTTTGACTAGCTTGATACTTAATCCGGTCAATGCCACGCATGGTATCAGCTTAATTACCACACTGTAGATCCAGACGTTGATGTCGTTGAGAACATTGCTGATAGGAGACTCGGTGAGCTTTACAAAGTACAGCGTGGTATTAGTCATACCCTCGAGAGACGTGCCATTGCTCGTCTGCTGGAGTTTTGTCAGGTTCACGCTCATTCCCCACTCGTCCAGTACTTCCACTTGAGATCTCACCTCGGTGTTGATGTAAAGTGGTATGCAAAGTATCGGGCAGGACACGTAGGCGAAGGCGATCATCAGGAAGGTGCGTTTGTCGCTGCACCATTCGCGATTTCTCTGCGGGTGTGCCACCGCGATGTACCTCCAGACTGCCAGGGTAACCGTCAGGCAGATCGAGATCGTGTGACACACCTGAGCAAAGTTCGAGTGGAACAGCACGAAAATGCTCCAGCCGTAGGTGAAGGTGTCCTTGCGGGATCGTTTATAGAGATACATGTGGATCGCGTAGGGGATGTACTCGATCATCACGAGGAGGTCGGCCACGGCGAGACCGGTGAGGATCATGTTGGTGGGTGATTGCATTTCGCGACGCGTCAACACCGCGATATTGAGAACATTAGCGATCGAGCCGAATATGCATACCAGCAAACTAGCCCAGCCGTGTACCTGAGCGTACCAATTGTGGAAGGATTCCAAGTCCGGGCCGCACTCGTATCCTGTAGGTTCTGTAGGCGCCGCAGACGTGAAGTTCAAGCCGGAGTCATTCATCTTTGAATGGAGTGAAGTGATCCTGCGAGCGAGCAAAGTGCACTTCCGTGGGCCACGAAGGATCGATGAACTCGTCTTGTTTCACGCGCTTCGAAGTTCCGATTTCTTTTGGCTGAATCATTACCGTTTACAACAATAGTCTTTTTGTAGTCTTTTTAACGAAGAACATTGCACAGTTGGAGTAAATTGTAAGTCAGAGATTAATTGGAGTTAAAATTTCCGACATTAATTGGAGTTTTTCAAAATTTCAGAGAATAACCATTTGCCGTAATCACTATCACATGAAATTACATTAATGAACGACAAATATATTACGCACATTGTCGATAACAATGATCTACACACATTTTAATATTGATCATCATTGAATCAATATTATAGTTACGATTAAAAGATTATTGTAGATTAATGAAGACAATTATCACACACAAGTTACAATATTATGTGACAGTGATTATTGTTTACTTAACTAATTACTTAACTAATTCGATTTTTAAGGATTTCTACATTAAGATAACATTCATAAAAAGTATTGGCACATTTCACTGCAAACGGGAAGAACAAACGTCCTGGTTCTTTTGATGTCTTCCTAATGATATGATGGAGATAATCGAATTATTCCATCGTCTGCTTATACACATCTTTGGTTTATTTCACAATCATGGTCGAATCATCTTCGATAAGAAGAAGACAAAAATCGCCCTTTATTAATTCAATATCGAGAGAATATGATAATTCTTCTACATTCTTTGAACAAGAAATCGCGCGATAACTTTGAGACCATTTGTTCTTGTCGGCGAAGAGATGGAGGGAAGGATAAAGTTATCACGCGTTTCAGGACCCTCTTGATTTAACCTGAACAATCATAGTCAAACGTATCTCTAATAATCTACGACACATTTCCTATCTTTTATCATTATCAAAGGACAATAAAACGCCGAAATATAATAGTATTTAAACGCTCGCTGTTGTTATTGTATATTGTGCGATAATTTGACGTTACGTATCCAGCGTGAATATACAATTACCCTCAACTTTTATATTTCACATTGTTGAAGCTTATGTTTCAGTACTTAAAAGATACAAATTGATTTCGTGCATCAACAATGTCATACGCTTTTATATGACAAACGTCAAGTTTATATTTCTATCTTTTGTAACAATAAAACTTTTAATGTTAACAGTTTATATAGATTATTATAGATTATTTAAGCGTATCTAACGTTAATATTTAATAATATTTTATTAGTCAATAGACAGGAAGATAAGATGATTATTCTATTTTTTTAAAAATTGGCCGCGTCGATGTCCATTTTTCCACGATGATTCGCGAAATTGTGATTTTTCTTTGAGCGAATTGAATTTTTGTGTCGCGTGCAGGACCACAGAGTCATGTGACATGTACGGCCAGTGACACGTGTAGGAACGATGCTTTAGTTACTAGTAATCGTTGCCGCACCCTGTTATAGCGAAGTATCCTCGAGTGCCATAGGAACACTTTTCTACGCACAGCGTAATAACTGTTCGAGCACGAAACGAGCATTATCGCCAATCCGGATGAAGAGATGCACAAACATTCCGCTTTCAATTTTCCACTACCCTCGCTGCTTGCAGATCGAATTACCGCCCCCACCTAAACCGATCACTAGGCGAGCTCTTGATCGCGGAAATGCCGCCGGCTAAAATTACCTTGGACGTTAATTTCAGCTTGCTCGCTTTACGTTTGTGTGTGTCGCGCTTATCTCCCTTCCCTGCTTGTCTTAATTCCTCGTGATACTTATCGCACTCGCACCTCGATCTTACCGCGATTTTTTCGCTTTGCTAGCAATTCTATTTCGCGAACGACACAGCCGTTTTTCACATCGGGTAGAAATGTGTCGAAGAGTGTCGCGCGATCCCGCATATTAAGTTGGCGTTCGGACGCCGAATGAAGCGAAAAGGCGTCGTGACGCTTCGTACACTGGAATGGGGTGGCTCTTGCGCCTGCGTTGATCCAATTCTCCATTCTAGTCCCCTTCTATGTCATCCTCCCTTTCATTCTGTGTGTTTCTTCCTTTCCTCTCTTTTTCTCTCCTCTCTCTCTCTC